ATCTGAAACCTTTCCACCATGGGTGACCCTGCTGGTTATTTAAAACACCGGTGGCATAGCCCTCAGAATCACAGCAACTCAAACCACCATAGCACGACAGACAGACGAGTGGTGGCCATCTGTGATGCCTTCTAGTGATGTACGAAGGATTTTTCAGGCATCACTGACACCTCTAAACAGTTTTCTTTGTTTTAGTCAGTCATTTTCATGAATAGCATAGTTAGTGGAATTGGGGTATAGAGGGTACAAGTAACACAGCAATGTTTTCAACATTCAGGTAGCGTAGGCAAAAAAAAAAAAAAGCGAATACAGTATGTATTTTTGTGGTGTTTTTACTTTACATAAAGGGAAGTGACTATTAAACCAGGTTCACTCTGGAAGAATCACTAGGTTATAAGAAGTGGTGTTGGAGTTAGGGTTAGGGGTTTTGCATTGGATTTAGGGTTAGCAATATTGCATTGAAATTAGGGTTATTGGTTCAGGCTGAAGGTTAGGTTTTTATTTTGTTAAGTGCCATCAATTTGGTTCTAATCTATAGCGTCCTTGTACTGGGTTTCTGAAGAGCAGCTGGTATACTTGAACCACTGACCTTGCAATTCAAACTGACTTTGCAGTCCAATGCATTAACCCACAGCACCAAACAAGCATTCCTGGGTTAGGTTAGGGTTTAGTATTTAGAGTTACGATTCAGGGTGATGCTTTGTGTTTATGGTTAGGGTTAGGATTCAGGGTTAAGGCTGATGGTGAATATAAGGATGACAGCAGTGATAAGTTAGGGGTGGATGTCAGTGGTTATGTAATCACGCAAATCAGCAGGGTTGGAGGCAGAGCTGCAGGGAGACTCAATGATGCCATATAAGGGCAATTTCTCCCAGCTGTCCCAGCTCAGACCAGGAAGAATTCTTTTCCTTGGGAAGGCATAAGAGGCATATAATTTACCAAGAGTACCAGAAATGAGAATTGTGGAGTGTGCCTCACATCACATGGTGACTCTTCATTTCAGGACAAGACAGATACTAAGAGATGGAGTCATGGAGCATGGCTAATTACTGGAAAAAGAGATTATGAAGTCTTGAAGCAATAGAAGCAAGGAAGTGGTGCTTAAGTGCTAGAAACCACAGGTCACAGTAATTGTAAGGAAAAGCAATACTGAACTAAGTGAACTTAACTGAAAATAAGTCATGGCTGTTTGTCCTGATGGGAGTTTTGAAGGATTTTAATAGAGCACGTAATCCTAATGAGCAAAATACATAGGCAGAAAAAAAAAAAAAAAAAAAAAAGTGCTGCTTCTCATTTGCAATAGGAAGATATCAAAAAAGGAGGAGAAATAGACTGAGCATGTTG